TAGCAATAGTAGTAGTAGTAGTAGTAGTATCATCATCATCATTATACAAATCGGGGGGGGTGATGGAGGGGGATAACTGGGTCATTTGGTAGTTATCTACAGTGACTTGACATACAGTACATACAGTCATTTTAGGTCGTGTGTGTGTGTGTGTGTGTGTGTGTGTGTGTGTGTGTGTGTGTGTGTGTGTGTGTGTGTGTGTCAGTAAATTAATACATACACCATTAACTATCTATAATCCCACCCTATACAGTGAATGACTCCCTGGCAAGTTTTAAATTATAGATATGATATAGAAATAATTACTTATAATCCGATAATCTTACTTTAATTCACCTTTTAATAAATTTAAAGTGAAGAGTAATAAATGGGTTATGTCAGGTGAGAGAGAGAGAGAGAGAGAGATAAGTGAGTGTGAATAAAGGGTGTGTGTGTGTGTGTGTGTGTGTGTGTGTGTGTGTGTGTGTGTGTGTGTGTGTGTGTGGTGTCAAGGGCCGTGACCTGACCTGGCACTCTCCTTCACCAGATGGCACCCTCTCCCTCTCTCAACCTTCCCATCATTTCTTCACGTGAACTCTACCGTTTTCTTTTCTCTCTCGTTTTCCTCATTGGACAAAACCTAGAGAGTACAATAACACCAGTAATTTATTTAAGTGTTGTATATCCTTAGTAACATAAGTATATAAGTTGTATTAAAATCAGGGACAATTTTTCCTGGAATTGAATTTCCCAGACCATTAGCGCCCCCTCTCCTCTCCCCCTCCCTCACTCACACACGCTCTCACTCCCTCACTCCACGCACCTCTCACGCCCTCCTCACACACACGCTCTCACTCTCACATATACGCCCATCCAGCCCCCCACACACACCCACCCCCCACCACCCACACCACACCCACACACTTCCCCCACCCACCCCGCGCCGTATCCGTGAGAATCCCGTCACTTGTTAACTCTAATATGCAAATTGGTAAATGCTGATGACAGAACTGGCGTCTCTATATCAGTGTTACGTTAATTACTCTGTTTACTGTTATAACTGGCGTCTCTATATCAGTGTTACGTTAATTACTCTGTTTACTGTTATAACTGGCGTCTCTATATCAGTGTTACGTTAATTACTCTGTTTACTGTTATAACTGGCGTCTCTATATCAGTGTTACGTTAATTACTCTGTTTACTGTTATAACTGGCGTCTCTATATCAGTGTTACGTTAATTACTCTGTTTACTGCCGTAACTGGCGTCTCCTATATCAGTGTTACATTAATTACTCTGTTTACTGTTATAACTGGCGTCTCTATACCAGTGTTACGTTAATTCCCTGTTTGCTGTTATAACTGGCGTCTCTATATCAGTGTTACGTTAATTACTCTGTTTTACTGTTATAACCTGGCGTCTCTATATCAATGTTACGTTAATTACTCTGTTTACTGTTATAACGGCGTCACCATATCAGTGTTACGTTAATTACTCTGTTTACTGTTATAACTGGCGTCTCTATATCAGTGTTACGTTAATTACTCTGTTTACTGTTATAACTAGCGTCTCTATATCAGTGTTACGTTAATTACTCTGTTTACTGTTATAACTGGCGTCTCTATATCAGTGTTACGTTAATTACTCTGTTTACTGTTATAACTAGCGTCTCTATATCAGTGTTACGTTAATTACTCTGTTTACTGTTATAACTAGCGTCTCTATATCAGTGTTACGTTAATTACTCTGTTTACTGTTATAACTAGCGTCTCTATATCAGTGTTACGTTAATTACTCTGTTTACTGTTATAACTAGCGTCTCTATATCAGTGTTACGTTAATTACTCTGTTTACTGTTATAACTGGCTCTTCTATCAGTGTTACATTAATTACTCTGTTTACTGTTATAACTGGCGTCTCTATATCAGTGTTACGTTAATTACTCTGTTTACTGTTATAACTGGCGTCTCTATATCAGTGTTACGTTAATTACTCTGTTTACTGTTATAACTGGCGTCTCTATATCAGTGTTACGTTAATTACTCTGTTTACTGTTATAACTGGCGTCTCTATATCAGTGTTACGTTAATTACTCTGTTTACTGTTATAACTAGCGTCTCTATATCAGTGTTACGTTAATTACTCTGTTTACTGTTATAACTAGCGTCTCTATATCAGTGTTACGTTAATTACTCTGTTTACTGTTATAACTAGCGTCTCTATATCAGTGTTACGTTAATTACTCTGTTTACTGTTTGCTTCTGTGTCTAGTGTGTTTCCCTGTTCTATATTTATCATGTTTTTGCTAATTCTCTTTCGTTCTTTGTTTCTTTGTTTTATCTCCAATACCTTTACCTCCAACCCCCCCCCCCCTCTCACCCTCCAATATTGTCTACCTCACCCCCACCCCCTACCTCCAACCCTCTCCAAATATTACTTAAATCTCCATTCCATACCTCCAAAAAATATTACCTCCCATTCCATACCTCCAAAAAATATTACCTCCCATTCCATACCTCCAAAAAATATTACCTCCCATTCCCTACCTCCAAAAAATATTACCTCCCATTCCATACCTCCAAAAAACATTACCTCCCATCCCCTACCTCCAAAAATTACTACCTCCCTCCCTCCACCTCCACAAATTACTATCCCCCTCACCTCACCTCACCCAGGTACGAGGCATCTCACAATATCTGGAAGCATTATACATCTGTCATACCAACCTTTATAGTTACTAGACACCACCAGTCACTTCAGTTATCGTCTATTTAATTACAATAATTATATCTGCTATATTATTTATGATTATTTATATATAAACACTAATATATAATGCTGTCCTTAATATAGCTTCATTGACTATAGTGTAATTAATAGAGTGTTTTATATATATTTTGACCCGAGAGATAATTTCATCATTTGACAATTACCATTTCAGTGTTGCCATATTGTTTGTCATATATATAAACATAAATTTAACATATACTAATTAACTAAAGTTATTAATATACTCAACAACACACAAGGTTATACTAAATATATCTACATCACCTACTATAACATAAGTGGATATATTAATGGATATATTTTAATCCTACGAGTAATTTCACCAAATGACATCGTTTTACACCTGTCCGGAATATTAAATAACAAATAAAAATAAATTAAATTCATTCAGTGTTTAACTCGACCTCTTATGTATTTTAAAACTCTAAAAATCTGACGTCAATGATTAAATTTTGTCTTAAAACCCGCAAATACGCCAAAAATTAACACTATTTAAAAACTGGGGTTAATGAGCGAGTCTGGCAACACTGCTAGAGGCGGATGAGCGAGTCTGGCAACACTGCTAGAGGTGGGTGAGCGGGGACCCCACATTCCATCAGAGCTCAAGTCTTCACCGTTACCCCTGGACGTCCCAACCTTGAACCTAGTTACCCACACACACACACACACACACACACACACACACACACACACACACACACACACACACACACACACACACACACACACAGGCTATGTATACATGGCGAATCACTATAAACTTGTATGACGATGATTTCACTGACTATCTGAATAACACACACAAGTTTCGAGGTTCCTCTGTGTGTGTGTGTGTGTGTGTGTCTGTGTGTGTGTGTGTGTGTGTGTGTGTGTGTGTGTGTGTGATGGCTGCCTCCTTTAATTAAATGTGTGTCTTCAGGGACGGTGGTGGTGATGATGATGGTGGTGTGAACGAGTGTTGTCTCCCGTCCATTAACTGTTACCACGGTGTGTCCTGGTTCTCTCTCTCTCTCTCTTTCTTTATCATTCTTTATCTCTCTTTCATTCTATCTCTCTCTCTTTCTCTCTCTCTCTCTAACTCTTTCTATCTCTCTCTTTTTCTTGCTATGCCTCAATCTGTCTTTCTCTATGTCTTTATCTCTCTCTTTCGTTATCTATCTATCTTTCTTTTTCTATCGTTATCTTTCTCTAGCTATCTATCTCCATCAATTTCTTCCTTTCTTCTAATTCCTCTCTCTCTCTCTCTCTCTCTCTCTCTCTCTCTCTCTCTCCACAACCATTCGTCAGGTTACAGTAATATTGAACCATTGCTGTACTTCATCTACACCTCTGTAACACTGGACCAATGTTATACCTGTTTACGCCTATAGGTACACAGGATAACTACCTAATTAACTCCCTACAACCTCTGTAACTACCTAATTAACCCCCTACACCCCCTGTAACTACCTAATTAACCCCCTACACCCCCTGTAATTACCTAATTAACCACTTGACCCCCTGTAACTACCTTATTAACCATTACACCCCTGTAACTACTAATTAACCCCTACACCCTAACTACCTAATTAACCCCTACACCTGTAACTACCTTATTCCCTACACCCCTGTTACTACCTAATTAACCCCTACACCCTGTAACTACCTAATTAACCCCTACACCCCTGTAACTACTAATTAACCCCTACACCCTGTAACTACCTAATCTTGACCCCTGTAACTACCTTATTCTACACCTAACTACTAATTAGCCTACACCCCTGTAACTACCTAATTAACTTCCCTACACCTGTAACTACCTAATTAACATGACCCCTGTACTACTCATTACACCTGTAACTACCTAGTGCCCCTACACCCTAACTACCTAATTAACCCCCTACACCTGTAACTACCTTTTTCTACACCTGTAACTACCTAATTAACCCCTACACCCTGTAACTACCTAATTAACCCCTACACCCTGTAACTACCTTATTAACCCCTCACCTGTAACTACCCTAATTAACCCCATGTAACTACCTAATTAACCCCATGTAACTCACCTAATTAACCCCTGTAACTACCTAATTAACATGTTACCCAATTAACCACATGCTTAACAACCTAATAAACCCCATGTAACTACTAATTAACCCATGTAACTACCTAATCCTATTTAATACTAATGCCCATGTAACCTATTAACGCCCTACACCCACCTACGACAGATAAACACAGGTGACTCTCTTCGTTACCTGGATGTTGTGATAATCTGCTTCGTCTAGCTGCCAGAATCAGCTGATCTGTAAAGAGTAAACAAACAAACCATCAGCTGATATGTTGAGCTCCACGTGATAACTATTGTGAGAGAGAGAGACAGACAGACAGAGAAAACAGACACAGGTTTCACAGCCAGACGAGTGGTCAGTCTCTCAGCGAAAGTTAATTGAGACAAACAGACAATTGTGGGAGATATTTCCAGGTTTCTCTCTGGCCTGCTGAACACAATGGTCTACTGGTGTGTGAGAGAGAGAGAGAGAGGAGAGAGAGAAACAAACAATGATAATACCAATACATTTTTTAATAATTATTTTACAACTAATAATTATAGTAATCATTGACTACTACTCACACACACACACACACACACACACACACACACACACACACACACACACACACACACACCTAAGCAAACAAGACGAAATTTATGTTTGTTTGATGTGTGTTACCAACCTATTTCTCTCTCTCTCTCTCTCTCTTTCTCTCTTTCACTCCTCCCTCTTTTCCATATTCTCCCTCCCATCTCTTCTTATACCTTGTTCCTCCTCCCCCTCTCTTCTCCCTCCTTTCCACCCACCCATTATATTCTCCCTTCCTCCTATCTCTCCTTCACTCTCTCTCCTCACTCCCCTTCTCTTCTCCTCTCTTCCACCCACAGATTTATCCCCATCTCCTTTACCCACCATTACCATTCCTTATCCTTCCCTCTCCTTTTCCTTCCCCTCTCCCCCCTCCTCTCCCCCATCTCTCCCCTCACCTCAATATCTCAGGTACAATTAACTCCCATCAATTAATTAGTATAAACACAGGTATAATTAACTTACCGTTGGTTTCATATTGTTTACCTAATTCCTCGTTTATTCTCTTCATCGCTATTCTTCTTTATCTTAGTTTAGGTTGGGTTAGGTTGGGTTAGGGTGGGTTAGGGTGGGTAGGGAGTGGGTTGGGTTGGGTTAGTGGGTTTGGTTGTTGGGTGGTTAGTTGGGTTTGGTTGGGTTAGGGTGGGTTAGGTTGGTTAGGTTGTTGTGGTTGTTAGGTGGGTTAGGTTAGGATTAGGATAGGTTGGGTTGGTTAGGTTGGGTTTGGTTAGGTTAGGGTGGGTTAGGTTAGGTGGGTTGGGTTGGGTTGGGTTAGGTTAGGTGGGTTAGGTTGGGTTGGGTTAGGGTGGGTTGGGTTGGGTTAGGGTGGGTTAGGTTGGGTTAGGGTGGGTTTGGTTAGGTTAGGGTGGGTTGGGTGGGTTTGGTTAGGGTGGGTTTGGTTAGGTTAGGGAGGCATCACAACAGGCTGGGAGGGCGTTAACGGTGTTATCAGGCCAGACTACACTGTTTACACGACCAGTGAGGAGATAAGGTGGTTTGTACAGCTGGGCGGACCTGTGGGTGTTCCTGCTGCCTTAACACTCACTATCATCATCACTATCATCACTACTACCATCACTATCATCACTACTACCATCACTATCATCACTACCATCACTACCATTACCCTCCAACACCACCACCAACAACCTCTCTCCCTCCTCACCAACCACCACCATCTCCCACACACCCTCCCTCACCAGCCACCATCCACACCCTCCTCCACCAACCACCACCATCTCACACACACCCTCCCCACCAACCACCATCTCCCACACCCTCCCTCACCAACCACCACCTTCTCCCACACCCTCCCCACCAACCACCACCATCTCCCACACACCCCTCCCCACCAACCACCATCTCCCACACCTCCCTCACCCACCACCATCTCCCACACCTCCCCCACCACCACCACCATCTCCCACCCCCTCCCTCCCACCACCTTCTCCCCACACCCTCCCCCACCAACCACCATCTCCCCACCCCCTCCCCACCAACCACCATCTCACACCCTCCCTCACCAACCACCACCATCTCCCACACCCCTCCCCCACCAGCCACCACCATCTCCCACACACCCTCCCCCACCAACCACCACCATCTCCCACACACCCTCCCTCACCAACCACCACCATCTCCCACACACCCTCCCTCACCAACCACCACCATCTCCCACACACCCTCCCTCACCAACCACCACCATCCCCCTCTTCACAGCTGATTGGTCCTTCAGTAAACTCGTGACGCAACATACAAATATCTGGTCATTTTTTCTTATCAATAACAATACAATTTTTTTAGGTTTTATCAATATATTCAGTTATTTTTATCAATATTATAATGATTTAGTGTTTTATAATCTGCTTAACGTAACGTAACCTAATCTAGCCTAACTTAACCTAATCTGACCTAACTTAACCTAATCTGACCTAACTTAACCTAACCTGACCTAACTTAACCTAATCTGACCTAACTTAACCTAACATGACCTAACCAAAAGTAACCTAACATGACCTAACCGTGGCACTAGTAAGAGGGCTCGGTATCTATCTATCTATCTATCTATCTATCTATCTATCTATCTACCTATCTATCTATCTACACACTTAACCTATCATCCATTTACCTATCTCCTTACCTATTTACCTATCTATAAAATCATGATAAACACAGACACCGTCCCAGAAGAATACTGTAGTGTGTGTGTGTGTGTGTGTGTGTGTGTGTGTGTGTGGACGAGGGGGGGCTGGTGGTAGTGTTGATATCGTGCAGATAATGCCAAGCTCAAGGTGCAAGGCCTAACACACACCTACACACACACACACACACACACACACACACACACACCTGGTCAGTAATCACCAATAAGGTTCCTGGTAGTATGAAAAATGTCTTGAGATCTTGACCTTATGTGAGAGAGGTGGGGAGAATTGTGAGAATGGGGAGGTGAGAGGAGGAGGGGGTGAGAGGGGAGGAGGGAGTGAGAAGGGAGTGAGAAGGGTTGAGAGGGACAGGTGTTGTTGGCATTTTAAGGGAAACCGTCTCGTCTACCAGGTGTGTACCAGTGTTCTACCTGTTAATTATTATCACCTTGACTCGTGAGGTTAAAATAATCTCACCTTTGCCAGAATTTATAATGTAACCCCTTCTATGTGAGGCTAGGTTAGGCTGGAACCAGGAGTAGGGTTGGGTTAGCTGGAAACTCGGGTTGGGTTTGGTTGGGTTGGTTGGTTGGCTATGAAGCAGGTTGGGTTTGGTTGGGTTTGGTTGGGTTTGGTTGAGTTTTGGATGATGGGTCTGGTTGGGTTTGGTTGGTTGATTTGGGTTTGGATGGGTCTGGTTGGGTTGGATGGGTCTGGATTTGGGTTTGGTTTGGTTGGTTGGGTTTGGTTGGGTTTGGTTGGGTTGGATGGGTCTGGTTGGGTTTGGTTGGTTGGTTGAGGTTTGGTTGGGTTTGGTTGGGTCTGGTTGGGTTTGGTTGGGTCTGGTTGGGTTTGGTTGGGTCTGGTTGGGTTTGGTTGGGTCTGGTTGGGTCTGGTTGGATTTGGTTGGGTTTGGTTGGGTTATAGTTCGTGTGGAAGTTACTGAATATAACTTGTTGTGACAGAGGTAAGCAGTCTGTATTGGTCTCGTATGTTTTCAGTAAAGTGTAACAGATTTCCCACACACACACACACACACACACACACACACACACACACACACAAGACCCTGTAATAAACAAACACCCATACAACAAACAACCACAACAAACATACATAAATATAAAACAAACACGAACAAACACACCTTAACCACACACAAACACACAGGTAAACAAACACACGCCAAAAAAAAAATTATTCCCCATCTTAACTACAAAATCTACCTCACTCTACCTGTCTCTACCTCACTCTACCTGTCTCTACCTCACTCTACCTGTCTCTACCTCACTCTACCTGTCTCTACCTCACTCTACCTGTCTCTACCTGTCTCTACCTCACTCTACCTCACTCTACCTGTCTCTACCTCACTCTACCTGTCTCTACCTCACTCTACCTGTCTCTACCTCACTCTACCTGTCTCTACCTCACTCTACCTGTCTCGCTACCAAGGTGAGGAATTTTTTAAGGACTTTTTCTACACCTGAGATACGATATTAATTCCAAATTCGTATTGTAGTTCGATTGTTTGATTTTTTTTCATCGTTCCAGGTAGTTTGAAACACATTTATAGAGCCAATTCTCGTATCTGTTAATGTAGAAAGTATCAAAGTATATAATTTAATTTTACGATAGATTGTTAAATTATCGTAAGGTTCTGATTCAATTCTACGATAGATTGTTAAATTATCGTAGGGTTCTGATTCAATTTTACGATAGATTGTTAAATTATCGTAAGTTACTGATTCAATTTTACGATAGATTGTTAAATTATCGTAGGGTTCTGATTCAATTTTACGATAGATTGTTAAATTATCGTAGGGTTCTGATTCAATTTTACGATAGATTGTTAAATTATCGTAAGTTACTGATTCAATTTTACGATAGATAGTTAAAGATCGTAAGTTACTGATTCAATTCTACGATAGATTGTTAAATGATCGCAGGTCACTGATTCAGCAAGAGTATATATATTTTTCTGGTGAGGTAAGGTGAGGTAAGATGAGGTGAGGTGAGGTGAGGTGAGGTGAGGTGAGGTGAGGCAAGAAGCCATAGAGGCAACAAAAGCTTTACATTGTTCTTATCTTCATTGTGGAGATAAAGTGTCTTACTGTTTCCTTTTGTTATCGTGTGTGTGTGTGTGTGTGTGTGTGTGTGTGTGTGAGTGTGTGTGTGAGTGTGTGTGTGTGTGTGTGTGTGTGTGTGTGTGTGTGTGTGTGTGTGTGTGATAGAGGAGCAAGGTGGAAAGAAGAAAAGAAAGAGAGAAGGAAGAAAGGAAGGAGAGAGAGAGAAGGAAGAAGGAAGGAAGAAGAGAGAAGGAAAGAAAGAAGGAAAGGAAGGAGAGAAGGAAAGGAAGGAGAGAAGAAAAGAAAGAGAGAAGGAAAGAAATAAAGAGAAGGAAGGAAGAGAGAGAGAGTCAGTTCCCCGTCTCAGTAGTAAATGATTTCATTATTAACTCCATTAAAATTTGTGAGGAAGGACGGCGTCGTCTCCCACATCATTATCACCTTCATTATC